TGGCAGCCCCCTCCAGTCCCCCATCTGAGACTCTCCTCCACCATCCCCCCAGCCTACGGCAGCCCCCCTCCAACTCCCCCACCTGCGACCTCCGCCCCCTTCCAGCCCCCCCGGCCGGGGCTCTCTCCGGCTCCCCCCACTGACACAATCTTCACCCCCCCTCCCTTGGGTCACCGACATTTCTCTTCTCCAGCCTCCCCTGCCCCTTTTCGCCCTTGGGCTCCAGCCCCCCACCCCTTGGGGATCCCCCCCACGCCTGCCCTGCTGCTCACCTGTCTCAGGACCCTCCCGGAGGCCAAGGTTTTGTTGGGGACGTCGTAGACGCCCTCCCGCAGCTCGAAGGCCACCCCCGTGTCCCGCCACCGGGAGAACTCCCGCCCGCCGATCACGCTAGCCTGCAAGGAGTGGGAGGGGGGGGAAGGGTGGTGAGAGTCCCCTGCCGGGAGCTGCCCTCCCATAGCCACCCTGGAACCCAGCTGGGCTAGTGCCCCCTGGTGCCCCCCTGGGGCATGGGGCCAGCCCTGAACGCCAGGGGAGAGCGCCCCTTGCAGCACAGCGCCCCCTAGGGCCGCACCCAGCGGGAAGCTCGCCCCACGGGCTCCCAGGCCTCACCCCACGGGCTCCCAGGCCTCACCCCACGTTCGTGCAGCTTCATGGTGAGGTCCCAGTCGCACACGCCGCGGCGGGCGTCGTAACGGGTGCCCAGGTACTGCCGGACCCGCAGGTCCCAGAGCCGGGCGATCGGGAAGGCCTGCGGGTCCGGGTTCCGCCAGAATCGGAAGATGCTCTCCAGCTGATCCCGCTCCTTGAACTGTTGGACAAAGAGCAACGGGAGGGTGGGGGGAGAGAGACACCCCGCCCCAGCCCGGGTCGCTACCTCCACTCTGCAGTGGGGAAACTGAGGCCCAAAGCAGGACTGCAAATTGCCACAGGGACAGAACCCAGGAGTCCTGGCTCTCAGCCCCCCACTCTACCCATTAGATCACAGTCCTGCCTAGGCCCGACCCAGTGCCGCAGGACATGAAGATACTGGAGTCCCTGGGCTGGTGGGAGGCAGGGTACCGAGGTACACGGGCCCACTGCTGTGACAGGGGCAGCGCCACCTCTGCTCTTTGATGAGCCCCTCTGTGGGGTGGGGGGGGGCTCACGCTGCTCCCAAACCCTCCCCCCCCCGCCATCTCTCAGCCCCTCTCCTTGGTCTCTGGGCATCTCGGTGCAGAGCCTGACCCGGCTTGAGCCGGCAGGGGGGATTGAACCCACGAGCGCTGGAGGCTGACACATGAGGGGCCTCGTGTCCGAGCAGCCTCAGGATACTCCATCCATGGGGGGAGGGGGCAGAAAGTGGGGGCTTCCTCCCTCCCCCGAAAATGTGAGTTTCCAGTGCAGCATGGGAGATGTAGTTCAAGTGCCTCTCGCTCTCCTGTATGGCTTGGGCTGCCAGGTTGTACTACATCTCCCAGGATGCACCACGGTACTGCATCTAGGTAGGGAAAGCAATGCATCATGGGGGATGTAGTTCACGGGCCTCGGTGCTCGATTCCCCTCCATGGGATGACCTCCCTTGTTGGACTACGTCTCCCAGGATGCCTCATGGTACCACCTCTAGGTAGGAGAGGCGTTCATTATGGCAGCTACCTGCAGCACTGGTGCATCATGGGAGATGTAGCTATAGTGCCTCAGAGTGCCATTCTCCTTTAATAGGCCAGGCTCTCTAGTTGGACTACGTCCCCCAGGATGCACCAGTCTCTCCTCTAGGTAACAGAGGTATGTCGCATGGCGGTACTATGGCAGCAGTGCATCATGGGAGATGTAGTTGGGGTACCTCATGCTCCAGCCCCAGGCTCACAGATTGGACTACGTCTCCCAGGATGCACCGTGATCTCTTCGCTAGGTAGCAGCAGCATGCATCTGGGAGTGGCCAGGCTCCCTGGCCAGACCATCGACTCATAGACTCCAAGGCCAGAGGGGCCAGTGGAACCCAGGGCCAGATCCAGAGGCCAGACAACCTCTCTGCTCCCACTTGGGGATCCCCGGTTGACGCGTCCCAGAAGCCCGTTAGCGCCGCCTGGGGAGCTCAGGTGCGGCTGATTCTCCACCACAACCCCAAATCTCTCCCGGAGTCCCGGCTGCCCAGGAGGGCGACCCCCAGCCTGTGCGTGCGGCCGGCGTTCTCTGGTCCCGGACGGACACGCTGACATGTCACCCAGCTTCCCCAGTGACCCCCGTGGCCCTGACCCGGCCTCTGCTTTATTCCCCCCGCCCCCAGTTCGTCGCCTCTGCAAACATTATCAGGGACGATTTTATGTTTATGGGACTACAACTCCCATGATGCAGTGCAGCCACGTCCCTGCCATGATGCGCGCCTGCCCTACCCAGCGAGATCATGGTGCATCTTGGGAGATGTAGTCTGGCACGGGAGCCTGGCCCACAGAGGATAATGGGAGCATGAAGCACATGAACTACAGCTCCCACGAGGCACGGTGGTGGCATTTTATTTCCCAGCAGCCCAAGTGCCACGCCCGCTCTAACCGCTAGAGGGGGACCAGAGCGCTGCAGGGGTCGGTCCCGCCGCACGGGAAGGCCCGGTGGCCGTGGTGGGAAGTGGCGGGGACCCACCTTCAGGGCCGACAGGTCCACGGCCCCCAGGTGGCGCTGCTGGAAGTCCGGGTCGGTGACGTAACGGACGAACAGGTCCGATTTCTCCTGCAGGTAGGCGGCTGTCGGGCGGCGGATCAGGCTGTTCCCCAGCAGTTCCAGGAACATCTCGCTCTTCTCTGCGGAGCGGAGAGGCGAGTGCTGCCGTCAGAGGCTGTCTCCCCACCTCCGTCCCCGGTACTGGGAGCCCGGACTCCTGGGTCTTAGCCCAGCTCTGGTTAGAGCAGGGGAGGCCGGTAGCCCGGTCTCCTGGGTTCTAGCCCAGCTCTGGTTAGAGCAGGGGAGGCCGGTAGCCCAGTCTCCTGGGTTCTAGCCCAGCTCTGGGTGGGGAGCGGGGTCTAGTGGTCAGAGCCGGGGATTTCGTGACCTTTACCTTGCAGCCCCAATTTCTCCGGAGACTCCAGGGCGAGGCTGAGAAAAAGCAGTTGCCGGCCCAGCGCCTCGAGGTTATTCTCCACGAGGTAGAACTGAGAGGAGGGAAAGAAAACAAGCTGGGAAGCCCTGGGAAAAGTCGGCGTCCATACAGGGGCGGGCGTTATAGGTTCCCCCATCCCAGAGGGGCCGTGTCTCCGCGCCGGGCGAGGGGGCCCCGTAGACCCAGCCCCCGCGCCCCCGCGCCGGGCGAGGGATCCTTCCATAGACAATGAAAAGCCTGTGAGGAGCTTTGGGATCCCCCTGATATAAACGTGTGTTTCTACATTACAGCCCTGACTTTGCTTGCGAAACCCACTAGGCCAGACTGTCACGTCTGCTGCATTAAAGAGCTCGGCTTGTGAAACTGGGAACTCCCGGCGACTCCAGCCCCACCTCTTCCAGCCGGGGGCGCTGTGGGGGAGCAGGGCAGGAGTGCCAGCTGTAGGGGGGCTCTCAGCAACCCCAGCCCTGTCTCTTCCAACAGGGAGGGCTGTGAGGAGCAAGGCAGGAGCGCCGGCTGTGGGGGAGAGCTCCTGGCTCCTCCAGCCCCACCTCTCCCAGTAAGGGGCGCTGTGGGGGAGCAGGGCAGGAGTGCCGGCTGTGGGGGGGCTCCCAGTGAGCCCAGCCCCACCTCTCCCAGCAGAGGGTTCTGTGGGGAGTGAGGCAGAAGCGCCAGCTGTGGGGGGGAGCTCCTGCCTACTCCAGCCCCACCTCTCCCAGCAGGCGTACCATGGGTCAGTTGTAATTGCAGAACCCCCAAGATTTCTCCCTTCCGTATCCTTCTCTCCCTTCGGAATAACCCTGTGGGTACTGAAGCCCCACACCTCCCACGTCCCCTTGCTAGCTTGGGGACCAGGCGATTCGCGGGGGGCACAGTGAGCGGCGGGGAGATCCTCTGGCACGGAGGGGAGTCCTGGGGGGGGCGTTTAGATAAGAGGCATTGGGGGGGCTGCGGGAGGGGGCCTGGC